AGGCCTCCCAGGTCTTCCCTCCACCTGCTCGTTCATATCATACCCTTGCCCTCTGGTCCTCACTGTCTCTACCCTGCCAGGGGTGGTTGGTTTTATTCACTGTATTTTAAAATGCCTCAACCCTCCTCAAGTTCCCACCCTCACCTTTGCCTCCGATAAAATCCTTCACAGCTCCCAACATCTATGCTCTCCTCTCCTCCAGCCCCCCTCCCCCCCAAGCAGAGCTGGTCCACCTTGAAGCCAGGATATTCCTCCCACTCAGCTCTAGAAACATGCCCCCTGCGCCCCACCTAAGGATTTGTGCCTCCTTCCATTCCCTTCAGCCTCTCCCACTCTGCTGGCCCTTTCCCAACTGCAGTTAAACTTGCTCTAGGCCAGTGGTTCTCAACCTTCCTAATGCCGCGACCCTTTAATACAGTTCCTCATGTTGTGGTGATCACCAACCATAAAATGATTTTCGTTGCTACTTCATAACTGTAATTTTGCTACTGTTATGAATCATAATCTAAATATCTGATATGCAGGATGTATTTTCATGGTTACAAATTGAACATAATTAAAGCATAGTGATTAATCACAAAAACAGCATGTAATTATATATGTATTTTCCGATGGTCTTAGGCGACCCCTGTGAAAGGGTCATTTGACCCCCAAAGGGGTCACGACCCACAGGTTGAGAACCACTGCTCTAGGCACTCCCATCCTAATAAACAAAAATAAAACAGACTATGGAAAACAGTATGGAGTTTCCTGAAAAATTAAAAATGGAACTTGCGTTTGACCCAGCGATCCCACTTCTGGGAATACATCCTAAAACCCCCAAAAACACCAATCAGAAAGAATATATGCACCCCTGTGTTCATAGCAGCGTTATCTATAATAGCTAAGATTTGGAAACAGCCCCAGTGCCCATCAGTAGATGAGTGAATAAAAAAGCTGTGGGACATTTACACTGTGGAATACTATGCATTATTAACCGGTACACCTGTAAGACTGAAGGAGGGAGGCATGGAACAGACTGACATGCCTCAATGTGGGGTTGAGGGGACGAGAAGAGATAAACCAAAGAACATATACTTATATAATATACATAGCCCATAGACAGGGGTAATAGGGTAGGGAAGACCTGGAGGGGTGGGTAGAGGCTGGGAGGAGGGAGAAAAGGGCGGGGGCGGGACAGGAGACATCTGTAATATTATCAACAATAAAAAATACATTAAAAAAATGACAAACTTCCCTGAACTTGTGTTCTCCTCCAGCAACTCTTTCCCTTCTTCCCCTTTCCACTCAAACTTCTTTTTTTAAAAAAAATATACATTTTTCTTGATTTCAGAGAGGAAGGGAGAAGGACAGATAGAAACATCAATGATGAGAAAGAATCACTGATCGGCTGCCTCCTGCACGCCCCCTACTGGGGATCGAGCCCACAACCCAGGCATGTGCCTGACCAGGAATCAAACGGTGACTTCCTGGTTCACAGTTGGATGCTCAACCACTGAGCCACGCCGGCCCGCACCACTCAAACTTCTTGAAAGCAAAGTTCCCATTCACCGTGTTTTATTCATTCAGCTGCTATTCACTTATCTATCACTTTAATCTGGCTTTAGATGCTGATTAGAATTTAGGACTGAGGGGTCATGATGTCTGC